AGGACAATATAAGAAGACAAGAATGAGATAAGGCGTTTCAGTCCATTAAGTCATATACGTCTTAACTCAACACCGCACGACAGCACCTCGTCACTATGACGATCGCAATGCTTAATGGAAAGGGAGAGAAAGGAGGAAAGGAGGAGAGAAAAGAAAGGGGATTGACTATGACTTTGGGATTGGCGGAGGTGAGAATGGAATGAAAAAAATATATAACATCGCAAACGATGTATGGTTTTCTGCATCATCGAAAAAACAGAAAACGAGCGTCTGTTTGCGCACAACTCAGCAGTTCATCCCTCAACAGCGATCTACAATTATCGTTGCAAACAGAGTTCCCTCTAAAGCAATGCCTCAATCGTATTTGAGATTCTTAGCAACCCTTCGTCTTGTTCGATGTGCCTACTTGTCACTTAACAGGTCATTCTGCGAAGCACACAAGATAACGAATCCTGCAACGTTATCTCCCGAACATACTTGAAAATCCCAGTAATCCTTTCTTATCCGTTGTGCCTTTCCACCAACGTAGAGAAAAAAGAGCGCACAGGGTGCTAAGGCTTGTTTTTTCCTCAGCCACTGTCTCACGGCTTCTACGCCATCTCTTCAAATTTTTTTACAAAAAATCTATTCGAAAAAGCTTACCGCTCCATCACTTGCTGATGCACCAACTTTGTCGCCACGGAAATTCCAGCCCACTTCAAAAATTCCACCATCACTTAAACTTCCCGAATAACTCTGAATCACTTTTCCCGTCTGAAACATGCATCCCTTTTCCCTCGTTCATTAATTAATAAAAATTAAGAAGCAAATAGAATGGAAAAACTGCCAAATGCGGAAACGAAAGACCTTGAACCTGGTCTAAAATATGTCATTTTGCCCTTTAACAAAACTGTTGATCATTCGAAAAATGTCAGCTCTCAGCTTTACCTAAGCATCAGCTTCATAAATAGGGAAGCCCACAAATGCAAGTGAATTTTTATAAGACAATTTCCACTCATACTTCTTTACTTTTGCTAGGCTTTTTGACTCCCTGACATGTGTAAGCATTGAAATTCTAACACGTATAAGGAGTGTCGCGAACTGATCCCATTTTGCAAAAACTCAGCAAAGGATCGCATTCCTCATCCTCATAATCCTTGAATCCTCGAATTATGACGTATTTAATCGTTACATTACCAGCTTCTATATCCCATCATCTAGCAATTGGAGTTTTTTGCCCGATATGCCTGGCAGCTACCTATATTTCCTTCTTTTTTGAGGGGCTTTCCGTGGATATTCGTGACAAAAAGCGACTTTTCCATCAGCAAATTTCAAACAGGATCAACCAAAAAATCATTCTGCTCATACCTGCACATCCCAAATATAGACACATCGATCGAATGAACCGGATGCAATGTATTTTCCGTCCGGCGAGAAACCAACTGAATAAACGGGCTCCGTATGTTTGGTTAACGTACGAAGACACTGCCCTCGCTCCACATCCCACAGTCGCACTGTATGATCGAATGAAGCACTGCAAAAAAAAAAAAAAATCACATCAAAATTGCAGTTTTCACTTTGGATTCCTGTAGCTTAGGGTAAGATAAGATTTATCTCTGACTGTTCACAAGGAAAAAGGACGTACTTTTGCCAGGAATCGAAGATTTTAAGAAACGCATCTTA